AATACTGAGTGAGCTCTGGCTCTATTTGCACACAATGGACAAAGTATCATAGCAAACTAGTGAGGAGTTATAGACAACATCTTGACTGCATTTACTTAATTTCCACTTTCCAAGGTCAAGAACCATGATAGTCAAAATGATTACAGCCCAATTACTGCATATGGTCTAATAGTTCCCATGACTCTGTTCTAAAACCAAGTTAGATTATTGTCTACTACTACATAGGCAGCTCCATTCACAAAATGATAAAGTTTTATTCTAATACTTTCCTTACCCCAAGGGAGTTTCAAAACCTTTTGAGGACACTGTATAAATGGAGACTTCCCTCACCTCATCCACCATCTTGGATGGATTTTTTTTCCTCCATTGAACTTTTTGCAATGCACTCTGGGATTGCCTTCTTTTAAAGGATATATGCAATTCTGCTTTAAACTTTGGCCAAAACAAGATATGTCAGAAGGCAGCATAATTATGTTGACTTTGGCAGCCTACATAGGCAGCTTACTAGATTTTGGAACAGAGTCAATCAAACTGAGTACCAGAATTCCTTTTCTATATTTAAAATCACCCCAAGCATGTCTGTGAGCTGTGAGAGAGACCTTGTAAATGCAAAGTCAATTGGCTATTGTACAAATATGAACAGCCATCCATTCAGAGTCGCCCCCCAAAAGTGTGCCCGACTTTTGTTACTATCGTGTTGCGGACTTGTAGCCATCATTGTTGATGTCATTAGCATTTTGACGGAGGCAGCAGCGTGCTGTCACTGCAGGGGAGAGAGGCAGCTCAGATAAGCTGTCACTTTCCTTGAGTGGCAGGCGTGATAAGCTGGATCAGTGGCTGCTGCAGTACTTGGAATTGGTTCATCTGAAATAGATGCCAGTTATCACAAGGTGCCAGGGTGGGCACGCATGTACAGTACATACCACCTGCAGCACCTACACAGCCTCTGGTCTCTCCCTCCACGGCTCTAAGAAACAGGGAGCGTGAGTCGGAGGGACCCAGAAGACAGAGATAATAGAGGGAGGGTGGATAGGTCTGCTATTATCCTAATAATACTCCCGCTGCGGGACACTGTTACGTGACCCCATACATTGACCGCAGCCTAGAATTATCTCTGGGCAGACAATAATTCTCTTGTCACACACTTCAGACATTTATTCTAAAAGACGAATGTTCAGCGGTGGCCCAGATGCTAAATAGATGAAATGAACTGAGGAAAACCAGAAAACCTTAGCGCAGCTCAGGTGGCTTGTCAATGTACTAAAAGAAGTGCAGATCTTACGTTCATTGATCTTCCTGGTTCATTTGAGGATATGATTTTAGTGGGGGTAGTTTAAATTCCAATTGATTTTCACTGTGATGAGCAATTTGTAACATAAAGAACCAGATATTAAATAAAAGATATTTGGGAAGATGTGTTGCTGATGCAAATACATAATACAGCTTCATTGTTTAGGCCTATTTTTTGGTTTTACAATCGAGTGAACTAACTTAGGATCTCACACTGGAGCAGAGACAGAAACAGTTTTCTATAAGCAATCATCTTTTTTTTTTTTGCTACAACACTACTGAAAGTAAATGCATCCATTCAACTAGACCAGCTAATGAGAATAAATGACCGGATGGGTCCACCTAGAAATGATAAACTGTGGCGATGATCATATACTCGAAATCTGTCTGAGGAAGACTGCGCTATGATTGTACAAGCCAGCCTGTGATTATGTATAAATTAAAACATCTAATTAAGAAAAAATGAGGAAACGTAAGAAGGTGGTGTGTTTTTCTACTCTTGTTTCCCCTCGAAATTACATTTATAAAGAACAAATTTAGAATTTTGATCATTTTGAGGTTTTTTTGCACTCTTGCAAAATTAGAAGGAGATAACGAAGTATATTATCTCACTTCTGGGCTTTCTCACAGAATGATAAATGGTGAAGCAGTATGTGCTGCATAAAAAAAGCCAATTGTATTTAATATACAACAATGCTGAATTTCAGGAATTTGTGAGGCGGAACTGAGTTTGTTTAGTCTTTGAAGAAAAAGGAACATATAGGGATAGTTCACCCCAAAAAATGAAAATTTCATTTTCACCCTCACATCATTCCAAACCTGACTTACTTTCTTCAGCAGAGCACAAAAGAACCAAAACCACTGTTGGTAACCAAACAGTGATGATGCCTATTGAATTCCACTGTACGGGAATAAAAAATAAAACTGACATTTCTAAAAATGTCCTCTATATTTAACAGAAGAAAGTCATAGAGGTTTTAACTGCATGAGGGTGAGTAAATAAGGACAGAATTTTCATTTTTGGTTGAACTATCGCTTTAAATCCTGAGGTTGACATCAGCATGGTCAAGCTGGTGCTTGGGTGGTCTAGCCAGAAGGGCAGTAAGGCCAGCAAACCAGCTTAGGCATTTTTCAAAAAGACTGAAATTTCAAAATGTTCCACTTTCAAAGTTGTTTTTTATGAATATTTACTGAGGTCTGTCAGATACAGCAGTCTAAGAGGAAGAGGAGGGGATATTCTGCTGATCCACTACCACAGCTCTCTAGTCCCATAGGGTGGACTGGTGCCAAAAACGAAGACCAGCACTCAAAAAGCACCTGTGAGGAGAAAGCGGGCTTTCCTACTGCAGAATTTCACAGCACAGTCAAGAGTGTTTTCAAGCGTGTGCAAAAAGCGACTCAGACCCTGTCATACTGGTAAATGGAGAAAATGTATCATGGAAAGTGCTTGTTAAAACATACTGAACACAAACATACTTGTCGTTAAGGAGCAGGGTAAAGTGACATGAGGACAGATACAAATACAGATACTCTTATAAATGTTCATATAAATGTCACTATCTAAAATAGTAGCTCTATTTATGTTGTTGTATATATTGTTTTATCGTAAATAAGTATTTGATCAGTATTGGTGAACATTAGCTAATTTAAAATAAATTTTCTCTATGCAGATCCAATTACTTTGCAGAAAAACAGATGTTTACTTTATGAAAATAGGAAGTGATATTATATAATTTTAGAATGTTATACACAGTAAATTTAGTAAATCTGGATATTGGCTTTCATTTAAACAACTTATAGAAGAGTTTTATCTAATAACAGGCAATTTCTGATCTAACCACAATCTCCACTCATTACTAAAATTAAAAATAAATAAATAAAATATATTAAAATAAAATAAAATAAATAAGTCCCACTATGATGGTTAACTAAGTTCATTCAATATAAAGAGAGCACATTGTTTTTTACAGAAAATACTTTTTATGCAAATTCTTTGCATATATTGAACTTGTTAGTATTTACAGTGAACACCCTATAGCAAGGTAGCAGCAATTGTCAAAGACACTCTACATAGGTAACCCAAATGAGTGGCCGCATCAACCAGTCAGAAAGCTCCTCTTCCTGGCACATCAGTGCATTTTGGGAATGGGCCAAGTGAGGGTGGAAGTGATGTCTCTGGCAATCTGACAACAGCCCAGGGCACTTCCTCTAAAAACCCATACAGCTCAAAATAGGTGGCTCTGCATCAGCCTGACATAGTTGTTTTCCCTCCGCTGGCTAGCAAAGTGCAAGTGTAGCATTTTCTGACAAATTCATCACAGGTAGGCTCAAATGGACACGCAGCTTAAGTTTGCACATACGATAAGTGCAGTTTTCTTGCCCTCTGGGTTTTATACTGCTGAATGGCAGCAGTTGCCTCTGTTTGTGACTATTTAGCAGAAGACTAATGTGTATTTTATAGCCTATAGCTATAATATGTAGTTTTAAAAAGTCCAGCAATACCTATGATTACAATACACACACAAACAATACACTCCGTCCATGGACAGACCATCATTGCCAGGGCAGGCCCTGAGTATTACAACACAATCATTTCAGACCGCAAACAGGAGGTCGCAGAGGATAAGTGATCGAAAAGGACCCAGTCTATCACCTTTGTGTTTGAGTATTTGTGAATCACAGCTGTCACTGCAGCGCACCTGAGATTAGAGTGATTGATGCATGGGGCTTTTTCTCGCAAGGTCAGTGTATCTGAGTGAAAAGCTGGGGCCCTGGTCGAGCAGGGAGGGCTTCTGTGTGTATACGCGTGATTTGAGTGATTGGCAATTGGAAATGATTGGTGAAGGCCTTCTGGACTGAGAAGTTTGAGTGTTTGTTCTCATGGTAAATGACTGCAGGTGTTAAGCTGCTTCAAACCACTGTAAATCATTTCAAAAGAAAGATACTGTAGTACAATAGTCAGCTGTTCATAGGGTTAAATATTCCGTTATAAAATTGATAACGATATAAACGTGGATACTGATTGGTCAATACAGCAGTTCTGCAATGTTAAAGCACACAATACGGTGAGTCAATGAATATATGTGACATGCTTTATCATTCTGAGTCAGAAGTCGCAATAAGCCGTTCGTGGAGAGAAAAAAATGCTCTTATCTATCAAAATATTAAGTATAACATCTGCTTTCAACATTGATAATAATAAGAAATATTCCTTGAACACCAAATCAGTACAGAACCATGTGACACTGAAGACTGGAGTAATTGCTGCTGAAAATTCGGCTTTGCCATAACAGGAATCATTTTTGAAATATATTCAAATCAAATAGTATATTTTTAAATTGTAATATTTCATAACATTACTGTATTTTTAATTAAATATATGCAGCCTTGGTGAGCATACGATACTTTTTTCCAATACACTTTTGTTTGAATAAATCTCATAATTCTGCCTAAAAATAAAAATAGTCTGCAAATTGTTTGGAACATTTAGTGGCCTTTTTTTCAAAAGCAAGTTTTTCATGACTGCCATTTAAATCATTATATCCAATTTGGAGTAGAAACTTATCACTTGTATCATTAGAGAGCTGACACTTTTTCATTCAGTGTATAAAACTCAATGTGACTGAACATTATGGAGCAGGTCACATATAGTCAATGAATAACATTACTAAGAAAGGAAGAGAGAAAAAAAAGAAGAAGTTTCCTCCTACCAGTGAGTGTGTAAACTCGGGTGCGTGGTCGTTCCTGTCTGTGATGGTGATGGTGGCTGTTGCAGTTCCTGTCAGACCCACCTCACTTCCTGCCATGTCCTTCGCCACAATCTCTAGCTCATACTGTGTGGTTGGAAGAGTCTGTGGACACATAAGAACATGGTTGGGAACAGTCAGTAGAGCTTCAGGACAGAGGGAGTACAGCCGTGATAAGAGCTTAAGTGGCTTAATTAACTGAAGAACAAGTAATTGTTCCACGACTGCTTTAGTGCTGGTTAGACGCTGTCAATATGCACTGAAAAGCATCACATACTTTTAATGAGTGCTAAATTAACTGGTAAAATGGAGTAATTAAGATCTAATCAACCAATCATTGTATTGAAGTCATGGCATCACCTCAAAAGAGTTCATCTCATCTCACAGTTCATCATTGGCAATTCAAACACTAAAGTCAATCGGTACAAAAAGTTCATTATTGCTCATGATTGACCGGTGATCTATGAGACCAAAATATCCTTTTGTTTATTTACATTTCTTCCTGTGTAAGGACTTCTTCAGGGGACGGCCCTGAAACAATGACAAAGGCTTCATGAAAGAGCACTGATGCTCCCTGACAGGTGCTAATCTAAATAAATGTCAAGTTTCAGTCACTTTTCAAAGGGCAATTAACACCCACATCACCTTTCCTTCAAGGCCACGTCTTTAACCAGAATGTCAAGATGTGAGAGAAAAAATAAAGAAAGAGTGAGAGAGAAGGGGAGGAAAAGCCCCCCCCCCCATTAATACAAATGTAAAAATCAATCCAAAATGATGATTAATACATGTTAAAAACCATGTCAAAGTAAATATCAGTTGTGAGCAGAATATTTATATTGTGTGTCATTTCCAGTTAAGCAGTAATTATTCAAAAACATTATTTAATTGTGCATATTTTATATGCATAAAATACTGCAAAAATGTGCAATTAGCCTTTTCAAGAAAAATTCTAATGTTTAAATATTTAAAATGTTAGCTGAACCATAGATTGATCAACTGATTGGATGATTTACACCAAATTAAATAAATTACAGAGTGTGTGAAAAGAAAAGAGCGTATTTTCTCATAGTTTAAGAAACAAGTTGTCTGGTGAAAGAGATATACAAGACACCACTGCATTGTCAGCAATTTTATTCAAGATGTGCTTTATATATATACACATTTACTTATATTATGTGCAAATAATATATATATATA